TCGATACCATATTCCTGGAATAGTACTTGGCCAGGAAGTTCACTGGCAAAATTTCAGCATCAAAGCCTACTTGCCTGACGATTTGAAATGCCGGGGCAGACATACATATGTACACACAAACATACACACACACACACACACACACACAAACATGCCTGCATACACATGTGGATCATCACAATATGCCTGCCCACACATGGATCGTTGCATAAATATGCAAAAACGTGCACTGAATATTACCTCATGCAAATTTTGCCACATTTTTTGAGCATAAAACGATGATGCATTGATGGGCGAGCTCCATCTTGAATCACCAACTGAATTCGTTGCCGTTTTCACTGACCTTGTACTTAAAAATATAACTGTAACAAGCAGTACGGTTGTCAGCATAAAAAATATTAGTACCACGCACAGCAGCAGAGGTACCAATGAAGCGTTTCCCACTGCAGTGCCTTTGAGCACTGCGACCTCGGTCCTCCGTTCCTCATCCTTCGATCGATAATTGCATTTCACTTCTCCACAACTCCCGAAGCTCCGTTGCTTCCTGTGCTGCAGTAACAGCCATTTGAATTCCTCGGAATCTTCTTCATACGCCTCTGACTCTTGTTCACATTGTTTCAACCAGCCTACAAGAGGATATACTTACTCTAACACTTACAAAATAACAAGTTATTTATGATTAAGACAGAAAATTGCGCAGCTTATTTGAAAACGATCACGCAGTCAACTTATCCGTTGTCGTGGAAGTCCAAAGAAAAGCCGGCAAAAGAAGTATGTGTGTACAAGCGGGCATATAGCCTGTATATACTGGCTCCAAATTATGTGTGGAACGCGTGAACCGATGGCGTATTGGCAAAAATAGCGTCCGAACATGAAGGGGAATGGTTCAGCTTCCTTCGGCCCAGGCTAATTTTCGAGAAAGGGCTTCTTTAGCAACATCCGCCCTTTGTACTTCTTGAAGAGCTTGTCCCAACGACGAACAAGACAGCATCAGGGCTCTGGAAGAGACAAATTGTTTAAGTAAATTCAGATTTCAACGTTACCAGTATGATTCGAGAGAGAGGACAATTCAGGAGCAGTTAAATGCTGCATAACGGTCGATCGGAACGGGCTTCTGATATCCGTGCTTAATGAAGTAGAAGCAGTGGCAGTGTCATCGAGACAGCTCATCCTCAACGTGTCTTCATCGTTCAACGAAAGTGATCGTTGCAGGCTGCGAGACGATTCACAGTGCGTTACGCGAAACTTTGGACGTGTCATTGGTACTTCCGGACGCTGCAAATATGCTTTTTCAAAATCATACACCTGTATCATTAATACATTCATTTCAATGTACTTATTTGGAAATTTTTGTATGTTAAAAAATTTTGCACATTTACCTGCGTTTAAACTATAGAACAAAAGAAGCTTATGCGTGTCCATCACGTTAACCAATGGATTTGGCGGTTAAAGCTCCCCACAGTCTATTAGACTTGGCGGAATTTTTGCACTTCTCGTTTGAAAAAGCGATCTTTTTTCTCCGGCCTTTCTTATTCAAGCAAAAGAATTTTGCCTCACCACTGTTTTGCCTTACTTTATAGCACAAATTCAGTTCAAAAGACTCAAAACCGTGGAACTTGAAAGTTTTCGCGTCAATCCGTCTAAGCTACTCGGTAGGTGAAGTTTGCTCCACTAAGGCTCTAATGGCTGATTTATCAAGTCAACAAGGCCCACGAGGGACCTCCCAAAGTGACTTTTGCTCTGTTCAACTAAAAGGTTCTAAAATTCGGATACTATCGTTTTTGCAATGGGCAGCAGTTTCTGATCGAAACAATGGGGATAGCCTTGAGTAGCCACTTTAGCAAAAGGCCGAGAACTAGCGATTTTTTGCAGAATATCGTGGGCGGCGCTTCACTTCTTTACACTTCCCAAAAAAAA